TGAGACGCCTCTTGGAAGAAGATTTCCTAAAAAGGAAATTTTCAAAAAATCAGCGGTGAACGGGTGAGAGTTTTTTTTTTATTAATTAATAAACATTTTTAAAATTAAAAATAACAATTTTTTTAATAATATTTTAATTTTAAAATCAAATACACAAAAAAATTATTATTATTATTTTAAAATTATCTAATTGATTTTTTTTTTATTATATTTTCAAAAATATATTAATAAAATATTAATTATAAAAACAATTATTTATTGAATTATTAGTTAAAATATAATTATCAAAAAAATATTATTATTATTTGCATTATATTATATATTTTTATTAATAATTTTAAACCAAATCAATTATAATTCAACAATCAAATAATATAATTTAAGCAATTTATAATTTAATTTTTATTAAAAAAAAAAAAAGTTTTTTAATAACAAATAAAATAAAAAATAACTTTTTGTACAGCATATATACATTTGCATGAATTTCTTTTTTTTTTTTTTATTTTATAATTTTTATAAAAAAAAAAATTAATACAATTTAAATTTATAATATAAAATTTAATTTTAAATAATATATCTTTCTTATAAATTTTATCTAAGTATCTTATATTATTGATAGGTTAGTTGTATCAAGTAAATTTATATAAAGAAAATTATTTTCTAAATTGTACTGGTTTAATATAATTTAATAAAATATAATGTCAATCTGATTGTAGAATTTTTTTCAAAAAAATTCAAATTATTTATATACTATACGAATGTTATTGATCAGATTCAATTTATTGTAACCTTTATAGGTTTTGATTATTATTAAAAATAATTGATTTGAAGAAATCTCTACCATTACTTTGGAAAATTTATACAAATTAAATATAGAACAATATTATGAATTGCTTTATTAGGATGCATTTCTAACGGGCCATGACGATCCGTTTGACAAACAAACCGGGGTAATTATGCTGATGCTTAGTGTAACCATAAAATATAATATAAGCCACTGTGTTATTGTATTTATCGTTATAACCCGAAGCAAAAAGTACATAAAACAATTCTTCTCCTTGCTAAAGTTCATCGTTATTCATTATTTTTTTAAAAAAAATGTCATCGGTCACATTGCCCTTAAATCCAGTAGAATTATGGCGACCAAAGGATGCATCAAATACAGAAATCGAAAAATTTCGCGTTAAAGTTAATAATAAGTTTAAGCTCAATTTAGGTAATTTATTTAAGAATTAACATTCTCGATTTTGGCATTGATAATTTTCTCCGATTTCTCTTGTTTATGAAAATTTATTATAATGTATAATGTTAGAAACATATCAACAACTTTGGAAATGGTCAACGGATAATATTTCCGATTTTTGGGCGACGGTTTGGGATTATACAAACATTATCCATTCGGTTCCTTATGAGCAGGTATTCAAGATCAATAACATATAATTAGGAGGAATCGTACAATCTAATTCTAACAATGCCACGTAAAAATGGATTTGCCTTTGTTAACTAGGTCATTGGTTCTGAGCCAATGGATCGAATACCGACATGGTTTTCTGGTGCAAGATTTAATTTCGCCGAAAATTTACTACAATGTCAGGATAAAAATAAAGTTGCGATTATTTCGACTGGTACAGATAGGCTCAATGCACTTTTAATATTTATAAGGATTTTTGGAATCAAGTTCTAAAACGATAACTTTAATAATGAAAAATAGGCGAAGGCAGGAACACAAAAAGAATTACTTATCGCGAACTTTACAGCCAAGTTAGTCGTGCTGCTGCAGTGATGCGATCGTCTGGAGTTAAAGCTGGAGACCGAATTTGCGCGTACATCTCAAATATCCCCGAAACAGTGGTAGCAATGCTCGCGGCTTGTAGCATTGGGGCAATTTGGAGTAGTACATCAACAGATTTTGGGGTGACTGCAGTTCTTGATCGTTTTAAACAACTCAAACCAAAAATTTTATTTTCTGTAAATTCTGTTGTGTATAATGGAAAACGTCTTGATCATTTGAAAAAACTTCAAACGGTAGTTGAAAGTCTTATACAAGAGGGTCTTGAAAAAGTTGTGGTCGTCCCTTTTGATGAAAGTGATGAAAATTCGCTTGATCTCTCTTCACTTCCACTAGCAACTTCATGGAACGAGTTTATAAGTAAACTTTCTAATGAGGAATTGGAGCTTAAATTTGAACAATTACCCTTTGATCACCCGATTTATATTCTTTTTTCATCGGGTACCACCGGAAAACCAAAATGTATAGTTCACAGAGCAGGTTTATTAATTCAACATAAGAAAGAACACATCCTGCATGGAAACATGTCAGCAAATGATGTGTTCTTTTACTACACAACAACAGGTTGGATGATGTGGAACTGGTTAGTGTCTGGATTAGCCATTGGGTGTACCATTGTTCTGTATGATGGTTCACCTTTTAAACCCAACCCATCTGTATTATGGGAATTGACTGAAAAAGAGAGGTAAAAATGAAATCATTGATATTTCAAATGCGCAGTCTGTTGTTTGATTATCTTGAACTTCTTTTAGGATTACAATATTTGGAACATCTGCCAAATATATTCAGAGTCTCCAGGATGTAAAATACATTCCCAAAGAATGTCATAATTTAGAATCGCTTCGGATGATATTTTCAACTGGATCGCCATTAAGTTCAGAAAGTTTTGACTTCGTTTATAACTCGATTAAAAAGGATGTGTTGCTGGGGTCGATTACCGGTATTATGAAATAACTTACTTGAATGATTTATGCTTATTTCATGAATTTAACAAATTAATATTGAACAATAGGTGGTACAGATATTTGTTCGTTATTTTGCGGCCATAATGCAGCTCTTCCTGTATATAGAGGAGAGATCCAATGTATATCATTAGGCATGAAAGTTGAAGCATGGGATGGCAGAGGTAAGTTAAAATTCTACCCAACTTAAAATCTTCCACTGATCTTGAGATGATGCTAAAATAGATTATTCCTCTGTATCTTTTATTTAAAGATAATCCGGCCTTTGCTCGTCCCGCTGATTTGGTGTGCACCAAACCGTTTCCATGCATGCCAGTATATTTTTATAATGATCAAGGTAATTCAAAGTATCTTGGTACCTATTTTTCACATTATCCGTCGGTCTGGTATCATGGAGATTATGTATGGATAAATCCGAATACGGGTGGTGTCGTAATGTTGGGAAGATCAGATGCAACGCTGAACCCATCGGGTATTAGATTTGGTAGTTCTGAAATTTATAATGTTGTTGATAGTTTCGAGGAAATAAAAGATAGTTTGGCTGTTGGGCAGAAGATTGGTGATGATGAAAGAGTTGTGTTATTCTTAAAGATGGTCGATGACTGCGAATGTGGTGAAGAATTGATTTTAAGGATAAAGAAACAAATCAGAGAGCAATTAAGTCCGAGACATGTTCCAGCTTTTATTTTACCCATCGCGGACATCCCGGTATGTATTATTATGCGGTGAAATAATTTAATTTGATCGGTTTCTAATTCTTGGTCGCTCCTATTCGTAGTACACGATAAATGGTAAGAAAATCGAAACTATCGTAAAACGTATAATTTCTGGGGAGACGGTCACTCCGTCTGAAACTATCGTAAACCCCGAAAGCCTCAACTTATATTACAATATTCCTCAATTACAAATTAATTAATTAATTAATTAATTATTCATTGAATAGTCATTAGACGACATGTTTTTAATTTGTACTGTAAACTAATGTTTGAGATTATTAATTTGTAAATTAATTAATTAATTTCTTATTTTTGTTCAATCGACTTAAAGAGTTGATATGTTTTTGAATAAAAATTTTAAGGCAAGAAATTTGGAAAATGTACAAAGTTGTTAAATGTAACATAATTGCAATCAATACCTTATAACCTATTATTTTTTTTAATAATGCATCATTTAATCAATAAAATCAATTACATTATTTATCGATTTAATGCGAATTCTTGTCACGTACATACATTTAGTTATATAGTATATATTATTTTTATTGTTATAAAAAAAATATTCGTTGGATTAAAGTAAACTTTTAATTATTTTGTATCTTTGAGCTATTTAAAGTGTGTTGCAAAAAGAATGACAATTATATTTTTAGTTATAACTTAATAAATAATTTATAAAAATTTATAAAAATTTACAAACATATAGTAAATATATTATAAAACAACTTTACTTAGTACTGTTTTAATCAATATATTAGTATTTTTTTAAAATAAAATAATTTTTTTAATAAAAAATTTATAATCAAAAATTTTTGTCTCATTTTTATATATATAAAAAGTGGTCGGAAAATAGGTAAAAAAATTTTTTGATTTTTTTAAAATTTAAATTTCTTGTATTAAAAAAATTTTATAAAAATCCAACAATATTATATAAATATTTTTAATTATTTTTAATATATATATATATAATTTTTTAATAAATTTATAAATTAAAATTAGAAATAATAAAATTTTAAAGAATTTTTTTGTAATCTTATTTTTAGGTTAACTTTTTTAATAATATTATTAACTTTAAAATAAGATATATTAAAAAATTATTATTTTATTTTAAATTTTTCAATTGGTTTTTTTTTTTTATATTTTTAAAAATATATTAATAAAATATTAAATTATAAAAACAATTATTTATTAAATTATTTATTAAGTTATAACTAAAAATATAATTGTCATTTCTCATGATTGTCTATTGTATATAAAAAATATAAATGGATTATAACCCATTTATTAAATTTACTATATAATTTGGAATTGAATAAATTGAATATAAAATCATTAGGATCCTTAATAAAAACAAAATGACAAAAATTTTATAATTTCAAATAAAAATATAAAAACACTTAATATATAATAAATAGTCTATTTAATTAAATTATATAATAAAGATTTAATAATAATACAATAAAAATTTTAAAAAGAAATATATCATAATAATAATTCAATAACAAAAATAATATGACAAATAAAAAGAAAAAAAGAAATATATAAGAAAAAAGAACAAAATTTATTTATCAAAATAAAAAAAGTTTTGCTTCTAATTTTTTGATTTTTTTAAAAAAAAAAATTTTTAGTTTCAAAAATACAAATATCTTTTTAAGATAAATCATAGCTAGTGCATAAATCTTTAATCAATTTAATAATAAAATATTTTTTAGAAGCATTAGAAATGGTTTTTAAAATAATATTGAAACATATCATCTTTCTATTCATAACTAGAATAAGGATGAAAAAAGTCATATTGAATAAAAACTATTGTGCTTTGAAGATATCTTTGAGCAGAAATAAGATAACTTAATATTTGAGTAATGTTATATTTTGCTTTTTGAAGATTATAGAAAATGAAATTATAAAAAAAAAAAATATAAGTACAAAAATAAAGTAATAAGAAGATTCATTTAAAAAGATGTGATTTATATCTATTTTGATCAAAATAAAGATATAAATAAATATAAAAAAAGAAAAATATCCATCTTGAACAGAACAAAGATAATAAGAAACTATATCTTAATTAATGATATATAGTATGAGTTATAATTTTTTGGAATTTTTTTAATTTTATATTTTATCTTATAATTAAATAAAAAAATAATTAAAATTTTATAAAATTTTACTCAAATATAT